AGGTGATAATGTTAGTTAAGTGGTCAAGTCAGCCAAGAGTTTGTTTACATTTACAATATTAATATTTATGCAAATAGCAGTGGACGACGATGATTTTGCAGATATGTGAGTCACTTGGCTTCATTCATCGTATCATATGATTATGATATTCTCTGTGTTGAGGAGGGTCACGTGACTTGTCTGTGCTTCCTTCCACATGATTCATTAATATGTGCTGCTCCACCTCCCCTGCTCCACATTCCTTCTTATCAAATAAACTTTTTTTTTTTTTGAAAAGATCAAATAAACTATTATTCTGTCTGCAGTTCATGGGTTAAAACCCTAATTACGCTTAAACACGACAACTACTTAGAAGAAAAAAAAGGTATATATATATATATGTATGTATGTATGAGTGTGTATAACTATTCAATTAAGTATACTATTAAGAGAATCCCGCTTGTCAACTTTTTTCTCTTTTTTTTTTCTCAGTTTGTCCTCACTTTTGATACACACTATTGACAAAAGGATGGCAAAATAGTAATTTTGTACCTTTTGACAAAATAACAATCATATCGTTATTTTACCTTTTTTTTTTTAAGAAAATGACAATCATATATTTATTGTTCCAATTTTACCCTCATTTTTTATACATAATATTTACACAAGGAGAACAAAACAGTAATTATGTAATATTAAAAAAAATATGCACTTATTAAGAGAAATTGTTCACACACACAAAATGTATGTTCTCTGCTAGTATATATATATAAGAGAAGAAAATTAAAGTAGGTGTTTAAATAAAAAATAAAAAATAAATATTGTGCAGCATATTTCCCTTATCTGTTAAGCAAAAAGAAAAAGAGAAAAACAGTTTAATTATCTATCTTATCTTTTATATTCCAAACTCATATGCGGATAATTTTAATAAAGAAATCAAAGGAAAAGATTTATATATGTATACATGAAAGGGTGAGGCATAACCTCGAAATTTGGCAAAGCGGAATTCATGGCTAGCCATATGTCCGCCATAACGATCTTGTGATGCTTATCCTTATTAGGGCAACTGCATACGGTAATGATTTTTTCATTGCTTACCTTACAGTCAATGTATATATATAGTATATAGTTTATATTATATGCTCTTGCATCTCTGATCTTGTCTCCAGTAAATACTTTTAATTATAAATGAGAGCTTCGAACTATGAGTATATCTCTAAACTACTTAATACTCTTCATTCTACCGCATCTCATTCCTCGTCCAAGTATTGGTTTGGCATTGCTGTGTTTTGAAAAAAAAACTGTTTTTGCTGTGCTGTGAGAATAAACTCGTTTTTGCTGCTTCATGTTTTCAGCTTTTTTTCATCCAAAACTATGAAAATAAGTTTTTTTTTAGGTGTTTACCAAACACCTTTTTAAACTCAACTTTATTTTATACTTATTTTTTATAAAATCATATCAATACCAAACCAGTAATAACCCTCATGGTTTAAACTGGTGTCGTTAATCATTTAGCTAGATTTTCAACATTGCGCACAGGACTCAAGCAAGATTTCAACCAAGGTAGCAGCAGATATGTTGATGTGAATGTGACCTTTGTTGATTTGAAAGGTCGGTGAAATATTGAAGGTAAAAGTAATGACGTAGTTAGTTCGCAGTCGGCAGTGAACTAATACCAAAGACTTTTTATTTTTGATCTTTTTTAGAAAAACAAAAATATCCATTTATTTGTAGATACGATTTACGGATTTTCAGGATCCTCATCATAAGAATCCGAAGAGAATCCTGTTGGCCATGCTACTAACAAAAAGAATTAAGGATTAGATCAAGTAGGCCCTTCAATGTAACCGAAACTATACATGCTACCAATGACGTTGTTTCATGGAGAAGTTTGTCCACCACCGTAACCATATTTAAAACTTTGTGAATAGTGATTCTTGTTGAAGAGGATCATCTCCAGATTCATTTTGTGAGGATCCTTAGTCGTTCATTGTACATCGTTCGCCCAATTTTCGTCAGGCACTATTTGTGTTTAATTTATAAAAAAAATTGATCGCACGATACACGTTGAATGATAAAAATGTAAAAATTCCTACCATCCTCACCATTTCAATTCGGATGGGATCCAAATCCGTTATATTGTACGTCAGTTTCGTTTAGGTCATCATATCAACTTGGATGCTCCTGCACAACCCCAAAAATCTAAGCCCATTCAACATTTTGGTGGGTTGGGATGAAGGTTTTCCTCTTGAGGGCCTGATCTATCAATGTTGGGCCTATTTTGGGTGGGAAATTGAACTTAATCATATTCTACCACTTCTTCACGCTAATCGAAACGCACCTACAGGCCGGAAAACGTACGTCGGCACGTGTATCGGAGTAAGCTGGCGGATGTGACTGTAGCTGGTGAGAACTCAAAAGTATGAAACACAAATTGAAATTGGGTTCGAGATTAGTGATTTTGTAGTATGCTCCGTCTATATATATGTACAGAACCTTTATGGAGAGGGATCCCATTTTGGAAGAAAAAAAAAAGTAAATTGTAGAAATAGTCCTTTAATTTTAACTCAATTGGAGCAATGGTCTCTCAACTAAAAATTCATTATCATTGGTCTCTCAACTCATCAAAACGTGCAACTATGGTCCCTCAACTAAAAATTCATTACCATTGGTCCCTCAACTTTAATCCAACTAGAGAAATTGTCCCTCAAATTTAACCCAATTTTAGCAATGGTCCTTCCAAAATAACTCATTTTAACAAAATTCTAACAAAGTTGACGAAAATAATCATAGCTACATGTTTTGATGAGTTAAGGGGTCCCAATTGTAGTAATGGTCCTTCTAACATAACTTATTTTGACAAAATTTTGACGAAGTTGACGAAAATGACCATAGCTCCACATTTTAATGAGTTGATAGACCAATAGTAATAGACCTTTAATTGAAGAATCATTGCTCCAATTTGATTAAAGTTGAGAGACCATTGCTACAATTTAATAAATAAATAAAAAAGGAGATTAATATGGAACTCGCTTCACATCAAACTTCAATGATTCGAACCGTATATGTTATAAATTTCGATTCATAGGTCATCCTTGCAAAAATTTAATTCAATTCAAACTCATTTGCCCATTCAATTGTCACAATGAAATTTTCAATCTGAAACCATTTGACTATTCAATAGTCACAATGAAGTTTCAATGTTTCTTAGACCATAGCATTCATCAATTTCATTGAGCTCAATTAAATGCCTCAATATTTACGATTTGGCTAATATTTTGCAAGGATAATTTATGAGGTGCTAACTTGAAAACTAAACGATTTAGATTGTTGAAGTTCTATGTCGTTTGGGCCCACAACTAATCATTATTTTCTAAAAAATATGGAGATCCCTTCGGTTAAAGACTCAGTGTATGTGTGCGTATGTATATTTATATATATAATGCTGAAACTGAAATGTTGGTTTTCATCATCTATTCAAACCAACATTACCTAACTTGGAGCAGAAATTTTCCGTGTCAATCTGATAAAGCAAATTAACAGCATACTTGATCGCACGAAAGCCGGAGACGGCAAATGGCTAGCTTTTGGTTAATTTTTAACCTACTTTGAATTGATTCTTCTTGCAAGCTTTGCTAATTTCTAACCTACTTTGAAAGCCGGAGATCGCACGAAAGCCGGAGACGGCAAGTGGCTAGCTTGATTTGAGGATCAATATAACTAGTGATTTGAGTTCTGTATATCCTCCTCCTTTGAATTCTACAGGACATTTGTTAGGTATGACCTACGCGAATTTGATATATTTTCCTGATTTATTACTATCCTATTTGAGTTATTGACATATTAATCAACACAAAAACTTGATATTGAAGATATATTGAAGATTTGTTACCGTTGCAAAACAATTTCCAAGGATATGAATCCTCTTGTTTTTACTTGACTTTTAACCTAAGTTATCTTTCCTTAACATGTTCATTCATAAACCTGTTTAAACTAGCAGGCCATGAAAGTCAAATATTGTCAAAACAAAAGTACATGAGATATTCAATTAATTTGTTGGTTTTTTTGTAATTTTTTATTGGGTACGAACGAGAATCTTTACTTTTGTGAAGTATGTACATGTGGCATTTTGTTAGTATCCTCCTACGTTCTAAAAGATGATTATATATTATAAACCTACAGCTGGGAGATCTTTGTAGTATGTCCATGTAAACTGTATTACGAAATCTCCAATTTTGACAGCAAAGAAAACACATCAATCACGAGTGCAAGTTTGTAAATAAGAGAATGCAAAAAGGAAATTAGTACAATGCGACAATATTCTTAATGGGAAAAATCTGTTAAGAACAAGGAAAAGCCATATAAAACTATATACATCAAAATCTAAAACGTGGAAAAACCAAAAGATCAAAATAATCGAAACCGATATCTGCCAAAAATTTCCTCATCAGCCAGCTATTGGCATGGACTCGTATGCCCCCGTGCAACATGAACGTGGGGTGGCCACTGTTACATAAACTTTCTGCAAGACTTATATACGAAGATTGATTGAATAACATGTTCACTAATAACGTTGTAAAATGTTGAAGTCAGTGACCTAAAGGCACCAAGTCAGACCTGCTATTAGGTGTGTACAGATGGACTTTTGTATCGCAAATTAAACGTCCACGTCACCAAAGTTGTTGGGGTTAAGTAATCCAAATTTTCAGTGGATTTACGTGGCGTATGATACTTTTTCCTTTGCTGTTACATCCACCTCAAAAACCTAAAAGCTGGAGAAATTTTTTAGTTGTGATGGGAATACGGATGGTATACCACGTGTTTTTATGTAAGAGGTGAAAATTTTTAATTTTTAAGTTATTAATCTTTTAACACATATATCCCATTATTTATATAAGGACACGTGGTGTACCGTCTCGTGTGACGGTCATACTGAAAAATCTCTCCAGATGGTCAAATTAGAGAGAGAAAGATTGATCTTAGAAAATGTTATAAAGTAATTAGGGTTGTTGTAAACTGATAAACCGATCCATTCCTACATTCTTCTAACCAGTCGTCAAATAATCATAATCCTAAGCCAAATATAGTACTTATAACCACATAATCCTGGTCTTAATTAATCCCAAACCGAGAAAAACAAGAATCCGTAGAAAACAAATGCAAACCCATACTGGCTCAATGGAGTCTATTGTTTCGGAGCTCGAAGGAACACTTCTAAGGGATCCTGACCCCTTCTCTTACTTCATGTTGGTAGCATTTGAGGCGTCAGGTTTGATACGGTTTGCCGTGTTGTTAATGATGTGGCCGGTGATCCGGTTTCTGGAGATGATAGGTATGGAGGAAGCCGGGCTTAAACTGATGACTTTTGTTGCTGTTTTTGGTGTTCCGAAATCAGAGATTGAGTCCGTGTCTCGTGCAGTGTTGCCAAAGTTTTACATGGATGATTTGGATACGGAGGCTTGGAAAGTGTTTAGCTCATATGATAAGAGGGTTGTGGTGACTAAGATGCCAAGGATTATGGTGGAGAGGTTTGTGAAGGAGCATTTGAGAGCTGATGAAGTTATTGGCAGTGAGCTTCTTGTAAACCGATTTGGGTTTGCTACCGGCTTTGTTAAAGGTGAAGTTAACATATACAGTCGAGTGGCCAAGCTGTTTGTGGATGAGGAACAACCGACATTAGGGTTGGGAAGGCCTTCATCATCTGGTTCTTCATTTTTATCCCTATGCAAGGTGCGTACATATTTGAAATGAATAGTATTATTAACAACTGACGTGATACATAATATATACATATTGGATCTGAACCATTTGTTCTATTCATTATCAACACATAACATAACGATGCATACTTACTAATTAAGTAAATTATCTTGGTGTGGTACTAATGAAGTAAATTATGCATGCATGGCTTGTCACTACAGGAACAAATCCACCCACCACTTATGATCGCCAACAAAAAGCATGATGAACAGCAAGTCCTCCGACCACTCCCGGTGATCTTCCACGACGGCCGACTAGTCAAGCGCCCTACACCTTCAACCGCCCTCTTAATCCTCCTATGGATGCCCCTAGGCATCTCACTTGCCTTCATTCGCCTATTCATGGGATTGATATTGCCAATGAGGGCTATACCCTACATGTCTCAACTATTTGGTGGTAAAGTCATTGTGAAAGGCAAACCACCACCGCCCTTCTCCGGTGGAAACTCAGGCGTGCTATTCGTCTGCACTCACCGAACCCTAATGGACCCCGTTATACTCTCCACCGTACTCAAACGTAGGATTCCAGCAGTCACATACTCTATCTCGACTATCAGAGCTCCTATCCCCAATCCCCACCGTTCGATTAACTCGTGTTCGGCACGTCGATGCTGAGAGAATCAAGCTTGAACTAACCAAAGGGGACTTGGTTGTTTGCCCCGAAGGAACGACGTGCCGTGAACCTTTTCTTTTGAGGTTTAGTGCACTCTTTGCTGAGCTTACAAACCGAATCGTCCCGGTGGCCATGAACTACAGGGTAGGGTTTTTCCATGCAACGACAGCAAGGGGCTGGAAAGCTTTGGACCCCATATTCTTCTTCATGAACCCTAGGCCAGTTTACGAAGTTACGTTCTTGAACCAGTTGCCTGTGGAAGCCACGTGTTCATCTGGGAAAAGCCCTCATGATGTTGCGAATTACGTGCAGAGGATCTTGGCCTCCACGTTAGGGTTTGAGTGCACCAACTTCACAAGGAAGGACAAGTACAAAGTGCTTGCTGGGAACGATGGGACCGTTTCGTATACTTCGTTTGGCGATCAGTTTAGGAAGATGGTGAGATCTTTAACCCTAAGACGATGAAAGAATAAGATGCACTTCTTTGTTTTGTGGACTGCCGTGTGTGGACGTATGAATATTAGTTTAGTTGGGGTAAATTAATTTGTATTTGGTTAATTAATTATTATTTCTTGAATTGTTGAATAAAGTATATGATTGTAAATGCCGATGATTTTGTTTGCAACTGATTTTGGGACTTTGAATTGCTAATTAATCAAAAGGAAAATGCTAGGGAGATCATTTTTTATATTATATTTTGTAAACTAAACGATGCAGTTGTTGATGGTTGGATTTCATTTTTAACAATTTTAAGTAATAATCTAACCATTAACCGTAACACCACCACATAGTCTGTAAATATGATCTAAAAAGATGGTCTCTAGGGTTAAATTAACTATATTCTTAATTTGGGTTTGTTTGTTGTACTATTGTTTTGTTTTGTGATTGATGATCAAATGATCTTGACTTATTTTGAAGGATTTATAGTGGGCTAGACCTTGGGCTGTTATATTGCTAACTGGTATTTGATTTTTTGGGCCTAGTCCGCACCTAAAATAATTTATCTTTTTTAATTGAAAATATTAAAAATTTGAACAAACAAAAAGGAGAGCATCTGACCCTATCAAAATTGACATTTTCAAAACATATATTATTGACCAACATACAAGACGATATTTTATATATTTATTTATTTATCGTAAAAAATTAAAGTGATTTTCTTGCTGAAATATTTGTTTTCTGTGACAAAGAATACAAAATGAATAATGAATGGTAGCAAACGAAGCGTTTAATGCAAAGAAGACAAAGAGGCGTGCGATGTGACAAAATGATGATGACGTGTTGGACAACAAACCGGTTCAAATGATGACGCAGCTCCTTAGCCGTAACCACGTTGCATCTTCGGCCGAGCCGCCACTCACTCGTAGCTCGCTCCGGTTGGATTGCAAATTAGCAATAGATCAGAAAGTACAAAAATGTGGACGAATTTTTAATACAAACAATATTATCTATATTAAAAGAAGAGGTGTGGGCTTAGTTTTGTAATGAGTTAACAATAATATGATTTTATTATCTCCAACATAATGGGCTTAGCCTCATATTGGCCTAACAATAATATGATTCAAATTTGTATCTGACAAAAATCGAACCTTAAGATATTTCACTTACAAATTTAGAGAAATATCATTAAATCGTAGCATTAAGTGAAAAATACGGAATAATTTTTGTATACGTTTTTATGTTTGAACTGAAATATATGTTTCTATTCTTTATAAGTGTTTTATTATATGTTTTATTTTGTTTTTTTCTCCGCAAAATAAAATAAAAGTCAGCAACATACACTACCAAAACATTGTGCTATTCTAAAAAAAATAATAAATAAATAAATATCACATTTCACACACACCGTAGTTAATGGAGCATTGCCATTAGGGATGAGCAACGGTTATGACGGACGGGTAATCGTGGTTATTTACCCAACCGTTTATACTCATACTCGCATAACCATTTATCCGTTAAGTAATTATCTAAACGATTATACCCATACCCATAACCGTTTATAAACGGTTAACCATACCCATAACCGCATACCCATTTAACCGTAACTGTTTAATACCAGTTTACCCATTTAACCTTTTTAACCCCGTTTATCTTTTTTTTTTTTACCATTTCCTCTTTTTCACCGTCTACATGTTTTTTAACAACTTGAAAATAAAAAAAAATTGTCATGATTTTCTTTTTTTTTAACAATTAAACACCGTTATAAGTACATTCAACATACATTTATGTATTGTAATTTTTTAAGTCCTTATATCATTCTAATAATTGAAATAATAGTTTACGGAATATTTTTAACTATTACGAAATTAAAAAATTATTTTATTTACCACGTGGCAGACATTTGGCAGCCACGTGGCATATATGTGGCAGCCACGTCAGCATTTAACATATTCATGGATGAAAAATGTAACGGTTGTATGAAATTGAAATAAAATAGTACTTGAGGTATGAAAGTGAAATGTTTTAAAGATGTTGTATAAGATTGCAATAGACCTCAAACCTGAGGGGCTACTATGTAATTTACCCTATAATATTTGCTAAGTATTATTGGGTTACAAAAATTGTTTAGAAGATAGTATTCTTTGGTTATTTAACCCATAATGTAAAGTATTAACGAGCTACATTATATTATAATTAGCTATATAAACCATGCACTATAGTCAATAGGATTGATTTAAGTTTTGTCCGATAGAGAACATAGTTAAGAGAAGGATTACACTTGTTGACCAAGAATCATGTCTTTTCGGCAACAATCAAAAGATGCAACATTCAAATTGAAGAGATGTGATTGTTGGGTTAATAACACAACTTCCCATCCCATGTCAAATAACCGCATATATATATATATACACACACACACACATACATACATATATATATATATAATTTTATTTTTTCAACATTACATATATAAAATAAATAGGTAAACAGTTGCCCGTTTATAACTGCAGTTAATACCCATAACCATCAATTTAAATTTCACGGGTAAACGGTTATACCCATAACCGTTTATTTATCTAAACAGTTATCCATAACGGTAACCATGAAGTTTAAATGGACAGGTAACCTCAGTTACCCATAACTGCGGGTATTTTGCCCATCCCTACTTGCCATCAGACACATTGATTTTAGCCCCAAGTCCAGATCCATGGTAAATACTATTAACAATGGATGCATGGTAGCATAATCATATCAACATATTCTAAATTAACCTCAACCGTTAAATTAATTTAAAAAATGTTGATGCACAAAACCGAAAAGGTCTTGGAACAACGTAAATCTGACCGTGAATCTGCAAGAAAGTAAAGAACACAAGATGTATCGTGGTTCACCCCAATGTTTGGGCTACATCCACACTGATGTTGATATTGTTTTACTCTGAATGGTGAATATACAAGAAGGTTAGAGGCAATATGCTCTCTAGCCTATTTTTTGTGTGCTCTATTCCCATGGCCTCAATCTTGGCCTCTCTAATGAGGAGTGAGTAGTCCTTTATAGAATAAGGGCTCCTCACTTATTACATATTTGCCCCTTCATTTATTACATAATTACATTTGAGTCTCCCGAGTATTTATACGAGATCTAAATACGGATGCCCTAAGTATGGTACAAACAGTAATCCCCTAAGTCTTTAGTCAAGAGAGTCTTTTGGTTGGAGACTTGAAATTCAGTCCATGTGTGGACCGAAGTAACTAGATGTTGTCTAGAACTGAATACTCGATATAAGGCGGTGCTCAATGTGAAATGATGCTCAACTAGAAGTAGCACATGTTGTGAGACTGCTCGGCTTGTGGCTTATGTTGCCTTGGTTGGCTCGGCTTGTGGCATTGAAGGTGAATGAGTCTTTTTTATAGAATAAGGGCTCGCTCCTCGATACATAAATGATGGGCTAGAGTTGATGCTCGCGGCGAGGCGGTTGCTCAACAGGCGGCGATACTCTTTAATGATGGTAAAAGAGTCCCTTTTATAGAATAAGGCATCGCTCATCGATACATAAGTGATGGGTTATGAGTGATGTTTGTGGCAATGCGGTTGCTCAGTAAGAGGCGATACTCTCTAATGAAGGTGAGGGAGTCCCTTTTATAGAATAAGGGTTCGCTCTTCAATACATAAGTGATGGGCTAAGAGTCTCTCTCTAATCAAGGTGAGGGAGTCCCTTTTATAAAATAAGGGTTCGCTCCTCAATACGTGAATAATGGGTGCTCTCTAATGAAAGTGAGGGAATCCCTTTTATAGAATAAGGGTTCGCTCCTCAGTACATAAATAATGGGCTAAATCCCCTAAGTATTTTTCATGAGACCCAATTACGGAAGCCCAATATATAGTACATAGTGTAGTCCCCCAAGTCTTCAGTCAATAGAGTATGTTGGTTGGAGACTTCAAATTTAATCCATGTATGGGCCAAAGTAGCGGTTGTTCGGATGCGGTCTTTGTATACCATGCACTGAAGCTTTGTAGGTGAAGCTTTGAAAGTGAAGCTTTGAAGCTGGAACTTTTGTAAACGAAGCTTTGAAGTCGGAGCTTCGTAAATGAAGCTTTCGAAGCTGATTAACATGAGTGATGCTTATGAATGTTTATATGAGTTATGCTCATGAATGTTGACATGAGTGATGCTCATAAATGTTGACATGAGTGATGCTCATGAATGTTTATGTATGATTTGACATAAGTGATGCTCATGTATAATTTTTGAGTACTGAACGTACTTTTGATCACCTAGTTGGTGATAATAGCGGAAGGCTGCCGAATAATTTTGGAGTACTTGACGTACTTTTGATCACCTAGTTGGTGATAATAGCGGCAGGCTACCAAAGGTTGGTGATAATAGTGGCAGACTGCCGAATAATTTTGGAGTATTGGGCGTACTTCTGATCACCTGGTTGGTGATAAAAGTGGCAGGCTGCCGAATAATTTTGGAGTACTGTGTGTACTTTTGATCACCTGGTTGGTGATAATAGCGGCAGGTTGCTGAATAATTTTGGAGTACTGGACGTACTTTTGATCACTTGGTTGGTGATAATAGAGGGCCTGGCTCTTTTTGGCATATGGGTATTTGCCCTCCACATAACATTCCAGCCTATTATTTTGGGCTTGCTGTTTTTTTTTATTACCCTCTGGTGGGTTTATACAAATGTCTCCAAAAGATAAGAAAAGTAAATCACATCATTCAAAGAAAAATTGATGGGACTTGGCAACATAAAGATTTCTCCCTTCACATCAACCTCAGCAGTCCAACTATTGGAAGAAACCTTCACGTGAAGGCAGGTTTGGTCAGCAAGCATGGTCTCTCATACTTTGATACTTTTGCATGTTCCCCGGGTGGGTTTTTCAAAATGGGAACATGCATGATGAAAGTGTGGGCGTCTTCTTTGGTGGTCGACAAAAGCAAGAGTATAATCCTGGCTGTTTCCTTTCTGTATTCCTTTTCTTCCCTTTTTCCTTTATTCCACTTTTGCTTTCTAAAAAAAATGGATTTCTTCACAATTGTGCTGGGGGTAGAGCTAAGATGGTTGATGATTTTCTTGCTTTTCCTGCCTCACGTGATTTTCTTGCTTGACACTCCCAACCTCTTCGGCATGTTTCTCATGAATCAGATAAACCAGCTCATAGTGCGCATTCATTCCTCATTCAAATCGCTTTTGCAGCTGAAGCTTAAAAAATTCATACACCTTATCTTCTTCGGCATCTGCAAACTTAGGGAGAAGGTTACCATCTTCCTGAACTTTCTTTTGTTTAAGCAGCATAGATTCAGGGAAAGGCCCAGTGGCCTCATCCGGTTTCGATGCAAAGTTGTGGTTGTCTTCTTTCTTCTTCTCCTTATTGATGTTCTTCTTTGCAAAAACAATCACCGACCTTCCGATTCTGACTGGGAGCTTTTGAGCTAGAAATGGCCAATGAGAAGAAAATGAAAAGAACCCATTTGAGAATTGAAAGCTTGAATTTTGGCTTTTAGAGGAGGGCCCATTTGTGCAGACCAGTTTTAGAGTCGTTGGAGTGAGAAAAGCTCCAGAGAATACCCGTAACCAACCACCTTGCTGGGGTTCATCAGAACCAGATACAGGTTTAGAAAATGTGTCATCGGCATCACGAGGAGGGAGGGCACCACCAGAGATCTTCCCTTGTGTCCCAGATGGAGGAAATGTCTGAAGGCTTGAATCTTGGAATTTGACGGTGAGGTGGCCTGGATCTGGAACCGCAGCAGGAACCCATGGCGCGGAGGAACTTAAAGAGGACGACGTCGGCCTTTTCGTCGTTTCCCAGAAGGGGAATGCCCCACATGACGGCGGAGGAGGAGGCCGAGTTGTTTTTGATGTCGTCCTTGTCGTTTTTGCTCACAAGTTTGCATTTCAGGATCGACTTGCAGGGGTAGCTGCGAAGAACCGGCAGCGACGATCGATCATCGACCGCACAAGTAGATATGCGAGGAGTATGGGAGGATGCGCCTGGACCCAAGGTTCCTGAGAGCGACTGCAACCATTGGAATGAAGGAAGAAACAGAGAGACAGAGATGGACTTTTGCCTTCACAGCCTTCCCTACTCAATGTGGCGGAGATTTCAGCTTTGGGGTTTTTAATTGTTTTTGCAGATTCATGACGGAGGTGAAAAATTGAGAGAGAACCGACATAAATTTTCGTGTCGATTCCCACATACGGTGCCAAATGTTGATGCACAAAACTGGAAGGGTCTTGGAGCAACGTAAATCCGACCGTGAATTTGTAAGAAAATAAAGAACACAAGATGTATCGTGGTTCACCCTAATGTTTGGGCTACGTCAACACTGATGTTGATATTGTTTCACTCTGAATGGTGAATATACAAGAAGGCTAGAGGCAGTGTGCTCTCTAGCCTATTTTCTGTGTGCTCTCTTCCCATGGCTTCAATCTTGGCCTCCACTAATGAGGAGAGTGAGGGGTCTTTTTATAGAATAAGAGTTTCTCACTTATTATATATTTGCCTCTTCATTTATTACATAATTACATTTGAGTTTTTCGAGTATTTATACGAGATCTAAATATGAAGGCCCTAAGTATGATAAAAAAAAAAAAAACAGCTACGACAGTAACTGTTCACAATTTACTATTTAAATGGACAGTATCAGCCACAAGTACACTCTTAAACCCAAATTCAAATGCGTGTAAATGATCTTATGAGAGAAATTACAAAATGAATAATGAATGGATCTTACAAGAGAAATTTAATACGTTTCAATTTACCTAACTATATTCTGTGTACTCCAACTGAAATTACACTTTTCCACCAAAAAAAAAAACCAGAAATAACTCCTTTTCCCCATAAATAGAATAACAAAAGAAAAAAAAATCCCAGTTAAGAAATGTCTCGCCACGTCAACCAGTTTACTGTTTAGAACAATGTGAAACCTTCAAGCCTATAGATTTCGTGCCGGCTCGGCGCAGGCCTCTATTCCCGCGGCTTCTGAAACTCCGTTCCGTTTCATCCTCGAAACGCGCCGTCTCCTCCAAAACTCGACCGACTGATATCTAACGCTGACTAAACGTCGTTACGTGTCAGAAACTTGCGAGAGTTCTCACCACGCGGTTTTGCCGTTAATACGTCCATAAATCTTTCTGCCTTCGTATTTTCAACACGCAAAATATCAAATTTGGCCTTCCCCAAAAAAAACCTTTACAAAATTTTCTCTCGGGGTTATTGTCCATTTTCCCGTCTCCCAAACAATAATTTACGATTGGGAAGATTCGCATTTTCTCGGATCGAATTTCGTTCCGATTCGGACTTTCAACGGCGGAGTTTTGTTTTCCGATTGAGGGAGGGTTGATTGATCTTCTGCATGTCCGCGGCGACGCCGTCTTACTGGTGCTACAGTTGTAGGCGTTTCGTTAGGGTTTTCAACGACGCCGACGTCTCCACCGCCTCCGCCCTATCCTCCTCAGTGGTGTGCTCGGACTGCGAGAGTGGCTTCGTAGAGGCGATCGACAACCCGACCTCCTCCGGAAACGTGGACTCGCGCCGCAGCAGGAGGTTTTCAGCTGCCTCGATGTACATGATTGGAGCCAACAACCGCTCGGTTTCCAGTCCGGATCATACCGCTTCGGTTCCGTCCGCCCCCCGAAGAGTTAGACGAAACAACGGCGACCGCTCGCCGTTCAATCCGGTAATCGTCCTCCGCGGAACAACGGCCGAAGGCGCCGCCACCACCGAGGAAGGCCGCGGATATGAGCTCTTTTACGACGACGGTAGCGGCTCGGGGCTCCGACCCTTGCCTACAAGCATGTCCGAGTTTCTTCTCGGGTCTAGGTTCGACCGCCTACTTGAACAGCTATCGCAGTTCGAAATCAATGGAATCGGGCGATGCGAGCAGAGACCGGCGTCGAAGTCGGCGATTGAGTCGATGCCGACGATCAAGCTCGATGAGGCTCACATAACGGCGGGGCATCACTGCGCCGTTTGTAAAGAACCGTTCGAAGTTAACACCGAAGCTCAGGAAATGCCCTGCAAGCATATATACCACTCCGATTGTATACTGCCGTGGCTTACGCTCCGGAATTCATGTCCGGTATGCAGGCACGAGCTACCGGCCGATTCGACGCCCGATACGGGTCAGGGTCGAGGTCAGGAAGAGGACGAAAACGCTGGTCTGACGATCTGGAGGCTGCCAGGCGGCGGATTCGCGGTGGGGAGATTTAGTGGGGGGAGAAGAGGCGCCGAGAGAGAGATGCCGGTAGTGTATACGGAGATGGACGGCGGGTTTAGCGGCGGCGGAGCTGCGAGGAGGATTTCGTGGTCAAGAAATGGAGGAAGACGGAGACAGAGCGGTGGGTTGAGGAGATTTTTCATGAATCTGTTTGGTTGTTTCAGCGGGGGTGTGTCGTCGTCGGCAAGTTCGAGTTCGGGTTCGGAGATGAGGGTGGGGACGCCGATGCCGCCACCATCGACGAGTCGTAGAAGAGTGAGGTTTATGGAATTGGAACCGACGGAGACTTCGACGCCGAGGGGGCGGAGGACTTGGTCTATGGAGGTGGATAGCGGGATTGTAAGATGGTGACGTGGAAAATGTAGGCCATATGCTTTTTTTGTCCGGGGAATTATGCTTATACGATAATATGTAAATAAGAGGTTTTAATGAAAGGTTTTAAGTTCAATTCCTCGGAGATAAAGTTAGCCTCATTATTATTAGCAGTGTAAGGTCAAACCTCCCGCCTTCCCTTTAGTGTAGGTTGTCCTCGCCTAATAGAGGCATTAGTCCGGACCACGGGAGCTATCTGTATAATATCGTTTGTTAAAAAAATATATATATATATATCATTTAACTGTACTGACTTGTCGGTTCAATAATTCACCTCTTTTCTAATTCAAAAAGTTGTGTAAACGCGTATCAATTTCAATTTCAGAATCGAAATTTTGAATTCCATATACTCGTGTCGAATTTGGTATTTTTGAAATTGGATTATTTCACTTCAAAATTATGGGAGTTTTACCAAGAGGAAAAAAATATATCATCCCATGGCTCTCTCTGCAACCATAAAATTTTATAGTTCTCTATTTTTTTGTGGGAGTAATATATTCAAGGGAGTTGTAATTGAAAAAGATAGTTACTTATTTAAGTACAAAGTCAATAAGTAAATAATTAAGTGTGTACTAGAGTTATGCAAGTCTTGAAATTTCAGATCGAATTCAAAATACTAAATGTATTTCAATTCCTATACAAATTGTTTTTATGGTTTCCCCATTTTTTTGAATTTAAGAATTACCGATTTTGGATTCGAATCGGACGAAATGTTTTCAGAATTATTTGGACTCGGAATTAGTTTGTACCCTTAAATGTATGTCACAATATAGTTCTTGCATTGCTTAGAGGAAAGTAATTGCTTGGAATCGCAATAACGAATCATTCCGAAATAATGCTTTTGCCGAGTTCACATCGGAACTGTTGTTTTTTCTTCTTGTATTTGCCATTTCGTGTGTGTTCCAAATGAGTCGCAAAGATTGATGCTACGTTTGCCAGATGCCAATAAATTCTAAATGGACGGTGACAGAGGAAAAAAGACAAGGCTTTCAGTATCCAAGGTAGAAATACAAAGTCACTTTCTACTGTTTAGGCGAGCTGGGTATACAGCCTTTTCTGTACCCTCTCTCTTTTGGGTTGGAGAAATGTCGGACAGACGCATCCTCCTTTCTCTATCTCCTTCAATCGCGAAAACTCACTTCAAGTCATGTCATGAATGATTGCAGTATCATGTAACCGATGACGTCATATGACAAATATTTATTGAATAATTAAAGTAAGTTTTGAACATGCAGTAACATTCATCGGAGTGACGATGCCAATGAGATTATACATTGGTATTGAAAGAGAATCTCTCCTGCAATATACTCTAGTTTCTAGTTCTTGATTCATGCATTTTTGGGAAATTTCGGCATCCGAATGGATATGACATACGAACACTTCTGAATTATTAGATTAATAAACGGTTCAGACAGTGTTCGTATGTGAATGTTGCCAAACCCTATTTAGACAAGTACCTTGCTAGCATAGTTGACTACGAAACCAATACACAAAATGGTCGTCTAGAGTTGCGAAGAAGCAAATCATAGCACATGCCGGGTGTAGTGTACCTTTTTGGTGTGAACAGTGTCTCGACCGAAACCGGTAAATGTCTTGGAGGGATTTGGAACTTGATTTGATTCGATCCTCATCAGATTTGATTTGTTTCAGTTCTTTCTTTCCCGCAAAATACGAACCCCACAACATGAAAGCTTAGATGCCGAGAAAACATTTTAGAATCAGATATTTTGAGTTAGAGAGTCCATGAATTTTACCAGATATATTTTTTTTGTAGACAGGAGTTGAAAGATTAGTGTTACATAAAAACTTTCATGCAACTGATGGTATTCATTTTCACTTGGAAACAATACGTCTTAAATTCGAATATCGTGGATGACGAATTTGATACCAAATTAGGTTGTCTATTGTGCAGCTTAACCTAACTCCCATTCTCCTTAGTGTAAAAATATCAATATATAAAAAAATATTAAAGTTCTAGAGAGACAAGTCATGGTGACCCTAATAGCATCGTTATTGTCCCCACTTAGGGCTGGTTTGGTATTGCTGTACTTTGAAAAAAAACTGATGTAAGAATAAGCGGTTGTAAAATAAATCAGCAGAGTGTTTGGTAAACTTTTTTGTAAAAGTTCATTTGGAAAAAAAAAGCAGTCTGATGGTGGGTCTTTTCATTAAAGGAGCACTGTAGCTCTGTGTGCTTTGAAAAAAAACCAGTTTTCCAAAGTTGCAAATAGCAGCTTCAGCTTTTTCCTTTGATTTCAGCTTATTCTCACAGCAACTTCCAAAATAAGCATTTTTTTTTAGTTTACCAAACACCTAAAATCCTCACAGCTTTTTTTTATGGGTGTTTTTTTTTTAAGCACCTCACTCCCAAACCACCCCTTAATCACATGTGCAATCAATAGGTGTAGGTTTTTATGCAAAAGATCTCAATGCAATTAAAAGTTGAACCATTTGATATAAGTTGTGATTTGTTATGTAAGATGGCATGGGAGTCTTTGCTTTATTCAACACGTCAGACCACTTTGGAGTTGGCCAAACGTGGAGCCACATCGGTCATGTTTGGAAGTGAACCCAATAATTTGGGCAAGATCTGAAAACCCTCTCTAATACTATGTTAAAGTTTCAGAGAGACAAACCGCAGTCCACCACTAATAGTATCGATATTGTCCACACTTAATTGCTTATGCAATCAATAGGTGTGAGTTTTTTATGCAAAAGACTTCAATACAATTAAAAGTAGAACCATACTATATAAGTTGTAATTTGTTTTGTAAGATAATCGATGTTGGACTTTTTGTTTTATTCAGCACATGAATGCCTAAGAGGTTCAATTTTTCCCAATATCTGCTTTCACTTCTCTGTTCTTTTACTTCTATAGAAATTGGCCCAAGAGTATTCCCCACGTCGACCCATAACCTTTATCCTTTCTCATACCCCAAAAGAAGACAGTTAGCCCATCCGCCCTCAACCCTTTCTCGATTTGTGACCTTCCAATATTATGCAAGGTTGATTGGGACACGTCAAGACACGGTTTTGAGTCTGTCCCATTGAACTCCATGTTACAACTATTCAAATTACTATTTATTTTGTCCTTATCGTTAAAACTTCTTATGCAAGGTTGATTAGGACACGTCAAGACACGGTTTTGAGTCTGTCCCATCGAGCTCCATGTTACAACTATTCAAATTACTATTTATTTTGTCCTTATCGTTAAAACTCAAAGTTTTCAAGTATTTTTCATTAATTTTTCTTTGAGAACTTTAACAAAAAGTTCCTGGTACTGTTCACTTTAACGAAAAACCACATTTTTACACTAAAAAGTCAATATTGTACTATTCAATTTAGTCTTCATTTTGTCCTTATCGTTAAAACTCAAAGTTTTTAAATTCTTTTCATTAGTTTTTTTTAATATTTATTGGTGCACTCAATACCCCGGCTATAACAATAAACATGTTAATCACTCTTAAATAATCATTTAATAATTAACATTCATATCACTTGATTTACAAAATTTTATTTCTCAAGCATTATTCTCGAAAAAGTTCAATCCACCTTATCCATTAAACGATTTTTTAAAAAATTTTATTATGTATTTTCTCAATATTTAAAGACATAGTTCGAATCTCATTTTCATGCTATACGAAACAAAAATGTTCATTCTACAAATTTATTTTGAATTCAATTTTTGTTACTAGTAAATCATGCAATAGTGGTTATGAAGAAGCTAAAATGCCTCTTCAAATCTTTCAAATTTCTAAAAAACGAAGACACCAGCCAGTCTTTTTTTGAAAAAATTAAATAAAACATACATGGTACACTGCAATATCTAAAAGGTGTAGGTTGAAGACGGTGGACACCATATGGTCGGCTAATTACTTTGTCAAAGTCGTGGCTATATGCAGGTTGATGTGGGTATTTAATTAATTTTAAGTTGGGCCAAATATTTTTAACCTAATTTCAACGACCCCATAAAAATATATATAGTGGGCAAACGCTCTACACTTTCATTATTTATGTAACACTATTTCTCCCATGCAACACAACACTTCATGAAGATGCGATTTAATGTAACACTATTTGTTTGTCTTTTTTTTTTTTTTTTAATCTTGTTCCGAGAAATCTTTTTTAGTAGAAGTTTAAATTTAAAATTAATTGGAAATAATGAGAGAGATCCCGATGTAGGAGTCACACTTTTAATACGTCCGTTCACGTATGAGTGAGATAACGTTATACTTAGCTTGGACAACCTATTCTAAATCATAAAAAAATATTCGAGATTTTACCCTAAAATTTACATTGCAAAGTAAACCCATGCAATTTTTTTTAACTTTCTGTGGTAAGATTTACTCTTAACACAACATACAGCTGAGGCTGAGTAACAAAACTTGGAAAAAGAACAAAATAAGTTGGTGCCGATTGTCAAACCGCGTTTGCACTTGGAAAATTGCAACAGAGTCTGTGAAAGAATCCAACTCACGTCACGTACGTATATGAAAACTTTGCATGCAACTTACCTTCCCTCTCCGGCCCCTTGAGTTTGTGAGATTGATTGAGAAAGCACACCCGATTCATTTGTTTATTATATTGACTTCAGTCTCCTCCAACTCTCTGGTCTTGTTAAAGCTAATCATCATTATTCAATCACAAAACTATCATTTTTTCTTTTGATAATATCTTTAGTGACCTCAAATCCACTAGAACAATTAATCAAAAGCATTTTTCACATATGTAGACTTGACGTTCTTTTTCTTGAAAAATGGATACTAGAAGCTTGTATCCTCATAATATAAAAGAAAATTTAATTTTTGTGGAAAGAGTTAATTTTTTGTCGGATACATGTTATTCAGTAGCTATACGTTCAATATCATGTAAAAAATTAAACCGTCCTGTTTCCTAGTTTAACATCATAACATGCAAGATAATTATGGGAAATGAAAAGTTGGATAATAGTGAAGTTCCCTAAAATTTTCTCACTTTGTATACCAAAATTTCCACCACTTACGTGTGCCAAATCTTTGTCCCACTGTCTAGGAATAAAGGCGTCGGGGACTTTTGAAATATTTCCAGATCAACTTGTCCATGCATGCTAATAATGTTTGGTTTTTTGCCATTAATTCTACGAAGAAAACTTCAAACCCTAGAAAGTGAGTGCTCTTTTATTGGCATTGACAATGAAGATGGTCCCTTAGGGTAACTGAGCTAATGGACGCATACAGGGATATGTGGTTGGCCATGGAAGCTTGA